TATATATATATATAATATACAATTGGAATTTTTATTTATTTATAATAAGTTTGAATCTTTATACCTGTATGGGTCCAAATTTGGACGACCACGACCATTGACAAATACAACAGACGATGAGATGTCCTAGCTCGACGTCTTGTGGAGGACGACAAACAAGCAAACAGAGACTGTACGACTTTTATAGTAGTGTAGGCTCAATAGGGGGCATTAGGGATATTCTTTCGAATATTCCCTATAATATGTTTGTTAGGATTTAGAAGGGGTTTGTCCCTTATATATAGCGAAAAAACAACCATGTAAGGGGCGCCTTTTGCTTTTCTAGCTGAGAACACTGACCGTAATACTTTTCTACATAAACAATTGGCATTCTTAGTGCTCGATCATTCATCCTCGCAAGATCAAGAAATATTATTCATTGTATTCATCTTTTATACCCATGGTTTTAGAGTTTACTATACCTAGGTAAGATTTACCCTTTTATTTTCTTTAATTAATTTATTGAAAAAGGTTCCAATATATTTTGAGTAGAAGTTAGCAGATAGATTGGTGATTTCAAATTTTGAATTCACCCGTAATCTTCATTAGCAAAAAATGATACCAACACCATGTGAGTCGGGCTAGCTAGAATTCATGCAATCAAAAAGGAAAAAAAAAAAAAAAAAAAAAAGAAAAAAAAAAAAAAAAAAAAGGAGAAGAAAACTTACTCAACGTGGATGCCAACTAGCTATTGGCAGGAAAAAGGTCACACACGTGGTGTTAGCTCCAATTTAAGAAATCAAAATCGATGTAATTAATAGCAGAAACTTGTGAATTGGAGTTTGATGGATATGACATGTAAGAAGAAGCCTCCAAACCCAATTTTGTATTGTTCATCCAATAATCCCAAAATAACAAAAGACTAATGTCTATTATTGTCCTACTAACAAAGACTCCAACTATACTGCGATTTACCAAACCATCTGGAAGGTTGGTTAATAATGGAGTATCTGTTACCAGTCAAACCTTGTAAAACTCAGTATTAGCAGCAACTCTGTTCTCCTGAAATTGCTTCAAATCAATGTTCAAGATAATTTGCAAAGTCTAGAAAACCAGGTTTAAATTAGACACCGTTGCTAAATAATGTTTTTATATCGTTATAGATTGGCCAATAGGGAGTTTTGTTGTTTGTATAGCTTCATAAGTCCTTATTCTCTTTATTAGTTAAAATAAATATGACAAGCACGTCAAAGGGGCGGCGTGGTTTCCACTTATGCACCCAATAAGCACAATATATAAGATGTGGTAAGCATTTTGAAATCCTACTTTGCACACTAATAATATAAGATGATATCGCCTTTGTCCGTTGAAAAGCTTCCCCATTGAATTATTCTTTGTCTACACCAAAAGCAAAGTATATCCTGCACGTTCTTCATTTGCTTTTGTAAAGGTGCACTTGCACCTATTAAGTATTAATTCCAAGCGGAACATCAAATGTGAGTAATCCACTTTTTCATTAAATCAAATGCTTACATGGTCACCCAATTGTTCAATTTATATGTTTGTCTACCTTATGTCAATTCCAGACTCCAAATTTGACAGCTTAATTTGCAGTCTCCAGCCAAATTGCAAACCTCAAAGTTCTTTTTTAATTTTATTTTATTAATACGACTCCCTTGGTCTCAGATTTTGAAGAAGAATTGATTTTGAAGAAGAATTGATGTGAAAAGCATCGCTAACAATGTCATCCTAGTCTTATGTCAAATCATTGGGAATATTTGGTTTCTTTCATCATTTGTTAGACAATGGATATATGTCACAAGAAAGGCGTCGTGATTCAGATTTAGAAGTTCAAATATGGAGTAATTTTCGCTCAAACAATGTTTTTATGTTAAAAAAAATTGTTAAATATATACATATTAAATTTATAATCCAGTTATTAATAATTGGATTCTTCGTTCTAAAATTTAAAACCCATAATACTGAAAATCATGAGTGAAAAAAATATATACCAAGTTGTTTTTTGCACAAATTAAAAGTAAAATTAACACACAAAGAATCGCCTTTTAGAAAACCAAGAAGAAGTGCTTTTATTGCAAACCAAACACGCCATACTAGATATTTCATCAAAACACCATAACCAATACAAGGGTCTCCCATTTATCATGGTCCCTTAACTCCACTAGCACACTACTACTTTCTAACAAATTAAAATTGCAGATAAAAATAAAACAAGGCAAATCAAACGGTGACGGAAACCCCCAAACTAGCCGTTAAACTTACATCCTCGCGGACACAAGATATAACTCCTTGAACTTCAGCCCATAAGCAAATCAAAGGGCCAGGACGAGACCCGGAACCGACTTACCGACCCGGTTGGGAAGACTACTCTCCCAAAGAGAGGGACAATGGCGGGGGGTAATAGAGGAAAAATCCGTAGTATTGTTACCGAGTCGGGTGACGGTAAGAGAGGTGTTGAAATACTCTCTAACCTGAGTAATTATCCCATCAGTGACGGTCCAAGCGTGAACCCAAGTAATTGAACGGTCAGGATCGCAGCCTTCAACGAGTACAGTGGACCCAAAGGCGTCAATGGTCTGAGGAATGAACTGGAAAAGGTCGGTGTCCGACTTGGCAGTGCCAGTGAGGATGCGCATCAAAAACTGGTGGGAAGGTGGACCATGGAACCACCACTCAAGATCAGAGGCCAGAAGTTTCTGGACCTTGTCAACGTCACGTGAGCTCAAGGCTTCATATAGGGCGAACACCACCCCTTTGTTTCTAGTTTCTTCCAGAGTTTCTTGAGAGTTAGCCAGTTCCGAAAAAAGAGGAGAGAATATAAGTATAATTTTTACAGGAGAAGAGGAGATTCTGAGAATTAGGTAGTGATAAGATGGATTTGGAGGGGAGAAGGGCAGACAGAATATATAGGAGGATTCAAGGGTATTGGTGAAATTATGGCGAATTCCAGGGATGTTTTTGGGAAACCGAATGGGTTAGTACATTTCACGCGCCTTTCAGTGCATGAACACAACGTGCCCATGCATGAATGGTTGAATCTTCGCGTTTTCTTTGCGCGGGGACATAGTTAACTGGGCCCCATCAAATGACGTTTAAAGTGTGAGATGTCTAGCCAATTTTCGTGGATCCCACTATATGCTGACTGTGCCAAAATCTTAGCAATTAATCTTAGACTAATTAGTAAGGCAAAAAGAATCTCTTTAACAGTAATATGGAAAACTAGAGTAGTAGTACTTCTTGATTAGGAGTCAAGAAATACTTTTTTATACAACTTTTTGTCTAATATTTAGCATATTTCTAAGTTATAATTATATCTACAAATATTTTATGTAGTTTCTATGCATGTATATTTCTTTTTTGAAAGTTAATGTTTGAAATATGCACTTAAAATCAAATATAGAATATTATATTTCATTTGGAGGAATAATTCTGTGAAAAAAAATGATCTCTAAAAGTGTGAGATTACATTGGAGTAGAGTCTTTCTATCTACAGTTAGACATCTCTATAACAGTATTCTTATATAACAATTCACTATAAAATTGAATCAATTTAAAAAATTTAAAAAGACCAGTCAAGTTTTTCCGGAATCAAATTTTATGTCCTGTTATAAAATATGTTTTCTATAACAACAATTTTCTATAACATCCAAAAATATCTGGATCAAACAAGGTTGTTATAGAGAGGTTTGACTGTATTACCAAACAAAGATCTAGGCCAACTTAACTCTCGAGCTGTTGGAGATATTTATAATCCAAGGTTCTAGTGTGACGACCCAAAGGGTCATCACTTGCTTTCAATTGATTTATGTGTCTTCGAGGCCTTGAAAATCTCATTAGAGTCGCCTCGATTTGCGTGCGCAATCCGGGCGCGTAGCCGGAAAGCTTAAATATAAAACTATGTGAAAAATGCTAAGTTTTGATGTTAAAATGAATAAATTTGACTTCGGTCAATATTTTGGGTAAACGGACCCGGATCCGTGATTCGACGGTCCCGGAGGGTCCGTAAAAATATGGGACTTGGGCATATTCTCGGAATCGAATTCCGAGGTCTCAAACCCGAGAAATGAATTTTTAAGTGAAATTATTTTCAGAAATTGTTTAAGGAAATTTGAAATGAAAACTGAATAGAAAGCAATGGTATCGGGCCCGTATTTTGGTTGCAGCGCCCGGTACAGGTCTTATATATGACTTGAGTCATTCCTGTGAAATTTGGTTAAAAACGGACGTCGTTTGACGCGATCCGAACCTTAATTGATAAATTTGATGTTTAAAAGAGTTTTGAGAAATTTCATTGATCGAGGTTTAATTCGATGCTCATGATATTATTTTGGTAATTTGATTACACTAATATGCCCGTAGGATGTTTTTGAGTTTGTGTGTATACTTGGGTTGGAGTTTCGAGGGCTCGGATGAGTTTCGAGTAAGTTCCGAGATGCCTTAGGCTTAGAAAGTCAGATGTTGCAGGTTTAGGAAGTTGCAGGTCTCTGAACCCTCTAGTGCGGTCCGCGAGAAATCGTGTGCGGCCGCGGTCGCCTTTGTGCGGAGCGCGGTGGAGGCTGTGCGGCCGCAGTCGCCTTTGTGCGGTCCACACAGGGTGTTGAACTGCAGGTCTTTAGGGATGCCTGTGCGGCCGCGGTCCATTTGATGCGGTCCGCACATGGGGGTCTGAGAGGGGTATAAATAAACGGGAATTTCAGTTATTTTTTGCTTTTCAAAACCCCAAAAACATAAGAGGCGATTTTTCAAACAACATTTCTTCTCCAAAACGTTGGTACGTGATTTCTAACTCATTTTCTTCACTTCTTAACATCTTTTAACATGATTTCAACTTCAAATCAAAGATTTTTATGGGGGAAATTGGGTGTTTTGGGTAGAACCTAGGTTTTTTCTAAAATTGGGGAGATTTGGACCTCAATTTGAGGTCCGATTTCAAAACAAATTATATATTTGGATTCGTGGGGGAATGGGTAATCGGCTTTTGGTCCGAACCTCGGGTTTCAACCACGTGGGCCCGGAGGTGATTTTGACTTTTGGGTAAAACTTTGAAAAACTCATTTTCATGTATTGGGGTTGATTAATTTAGCACTTATTGATGTAATTAAGTAACTTGTGACTAGATTCGAGCGGATTGGTGGTGGAATCGAGGGGTAAAGCTATAATTGAGACTTGAGTGGTGTTCAAGGCATCGAGGTAAGTGTTTGGTCTAGCCCTAGCTTGAGGGATTAGGAGTTGAGTCATATTTGCTACTTGCTTCTTGTTGAGTACGACGTATAGGCATGGTGACGAGTATCTATACGTTGGTGTCAAGCATGACCGTGAGTTTTAAATTGAAAGTTGTTGTGTTCTTAAATGACACTTGGGTGTTTTGCTTAATGATCTTCTATGATTGAGCATTTTCAATAATCGAACTAAGTACAAGCTAAGTTTAGATTGATTATAGCTGATTCTCCCTTGCCGGGATGACTATTTCAATATTGTTGTTCCCTTGCCGGGAAAATTATTACATTATTGTGTTCCCTTGCCGGAAAGTTATTATATTGATTATTTTCCCTTGCCGGGATTCCTTGAAATTGTAAGATATTATGAAATGGGAGCGGGTGGTAGGCCTACCCCAAGATATGAGAAATGGGATGGGGTTGCACGCCTGCAACAAGATGGAAACTGAAAGTGAAAGTTGTCTTTACTTTTCTTTATCTGTGCTAGAGTTTTATTGTTAGCATCCTTATTTATTCCTTTCTATTTTGCTTTATCAGCTATCCCCGAGGCATGTTCCCCTCCCCCAACTTTAATTGCTTATTATCTGTTTACTTTTCCGCCATATATTATATAACTGCACATGTTTATCTGGAGTCTGGTCCTAGCCTCGTCACTACTTTGCCGGGGTTAGGCCAGACACTTACCAGCACATGAGGTCGGTTGTGTTGATACTACACTCTGCACTGTGCAGATCCCGGAGCAGCTTTCGGATAGTAGTTAGAGGGCTTCCTTCAGTCCATCCGGAGACCTAAGGTAGACCTGCAGACGTTCGCGGGCCCTGGCGTCCCCCTCTATCTCTATTTCCTGTTTCCTTTATCTCTTGCTCAGGAACAGTACTATGTATTTTCTTCAGACTTTGTATGTAGTGGCTCTTAGACAGTCTGTGGTACTGTAACACCAGATTTTGGGCTATCAAAGTTTAAAAGTGGTAATAGACGTAGCTCTAAGCTTTATAAATGTTAACTTCCGCCTATTTCCTAACCTCCGCTTTATTTATATTGTCGCCCTATGTTTGTTTTAAAAGAAATAATATGAAAAAGGTAGTAGATAGTTAAGGGTTGGCCTGCCTAGCTCACATTAGTAGGTGCTATCACGACTCCCGAGGATGGGAATTCCGGGTCGTGACATCTAGTCTTCCAGAATCATTTTCTTTTAGAGCCCGTTTGGCAAGTTGCCAAAAACTGCTTATTTTGAATAATACTTTTGTTCAAAAGTGCTTTTTGGAAAAAGTACTTTTGCATAATAGCAGTTTGTGTTTGGTCAATTCATTTAAATATTGCTTTTTGCAAGCTCATTATGTTTGACCAATCTTTTAAAAAATCACTTTTACGAATCAAATTACGAAAAAGGACAGTAAATGTTCAATTTGCAATTAGTATTATTTAGAATAGAAAAATAAATTTAAACACTTATTATAAAAGAATTCAATTAAAATATAAAGTGTAAAGTAAAAATATAAATTTAAAAATTCCTATCAATATAAAATATAGTTATTCCAAAGCACTAACATTGAGTGTTTGGTATTATGTATTGTTTACATGATAATTAAAATATATCAAAATACATCATTCAATATAAATATAAAATCTACTTGTAGGAATAGGAGAAAGAGGATAAAAATATGGCTAAAATAAACAGTAAAGAAATATATAGTAGAAATAAAAGAAAAAAAAAGAAAAATATTAAATTAATGAAAGATAATTTATAAAAAATAAATTTATTAAGGTTATTTTTGTCTTGAATAAATAAATTTCTGCTCCTGCTTTATGGAAGAAGCTAGAATTTATAGCTTCTCCCAAAAAGCAGAAAAACTGCTTCTACTGCTGCTGACAAGTACTTTTTTTTATTTTGGCCATACACCTTAAATTTGGTCTTCCAGAAGCTTGGCCAAACATGTGTTTAGTCTTATAACTTATATTTATTTTCACTACTAAATAAATCGTATATACTTTGTATAAGTTAAAGTTTACACTTTAATCTCTCTCGGTAGTACTTGTTTGAGGAAACATTTATCAATTTATTAGTGCGAATCTATAATGTCAAAATGTCACATCAATTGTTCCATTATATTTCACAAAAGATAAAGATATAATTAATACTCCATCCGTTTCATATTAAATGAGGTAGTTTGACTCGACACGAAGTTTAAGAAAAAAGAAGAAGACTTTTGAAACTTGTGGCCAAAGTTTAAGGGGTAAAAAGTTTGTGGGGCCATGACATTTGTGTGGCTATAAAAGCTTTTCATTAAGGGTAAATGGGTAAAATGAAAGAGTTTAAAGTTAATTATTTTCAAATTTAGAAATGTGTCATTTATTTTGGAACAAACTAAAAAGGAAATTACCTCATTTAATATGAAACGAAGGGAGTATGAGTTTCCTCGTAAGAAATTTTCAAAGAAGAAAAAAGAAAAAGATGGAGGGTTAGATAAATATGGAGTGGTAAGTACTCATTTATCTTTAACAAGAGGTCTCGGCATCGAACCTTGAGTATGAAGTCGCCTTTGTTAGGCAGCATTTTATCTCTAATATAAGATTTTTCGGTGCAACTCTGAATTTAGTTGGACTCCAATACGAAAATCGGACACCGAGTATGAAACCAAAGAAAGACATACATACTTACTGAAAAAATA